TAGCTACATCCTAGAAAAAGTTATTAAACAAATGGCCATGGTCTTTCTTTTTGAAATGGATAATAATAACTGTTCAAGAATATAAACGTAATAAGCTAGTATTAAGTGGTCGAGAAACATCAGATCATCTTCAAAAATCAGATGAACAACTACGTTTAGTTCTATTCAAATTAAAATAATTAAATTTTCGTGACAAACAGGAAAATATCATACTCCATTTTATAAATCATTTTCTTGCCGTCTATTGCAGAGTATTCGCAATTACAGTATGGAAATTCTCTTAACGAGTATACATTTTCACCATTGAAGAGTGAAACTAGTCAGTTATAAGTGGTACGGATTTTTCGCAGTCGAGTTACGACAAGTCTTTGTTTAACTAAATTAGAAGTAACTGTATGCGACTTAATACCGAAGTACTGAAGAAATAATGTTTTAACTGTATTATTCATCAGAAATATAGCAATCATTTCTCCTGTAGCCGCCAGATATATACACAAGAGAACAATAGAGTAAAACGACGAAGGAATCGCGCCGATTTTATTCCAAAGTACAGCTATGGCGTACGGACATCCGCCAATGATTAAAATTCCTACTAAGACAAAAATATTGTGAAATACTTTAGCATCCCGATTGATGCGTTTCGTTATTAAACCATCGGATGTTTTTATTTCTGGTTGAACTTTTGTGCGAGCTGATGCTTGTCGAGCATGGTGGACGACTAGTGTATATAGGATTATAATACCGATTAGAGGAACAAAAAATACAATGACAATTGTGTAGAATGATGTCAGAAACGTTTTTGTAGTGATAAAACAGAATTTTGATTCGATCTCGAACTGGAGACCATCGCTGAAGATCGGCAAAACAGCCACGATTGTCATAGTTAGCCATCCAACACCGATTAATTTGAAATGTGCTTTGAATGTCAGCAGATGTTTTCGCTTGTACAAAACTGTGTGCCAATAACGTAAAAAGTTCAAATAACAGATGAGAACTGCGAGACTTGAATTGCACGAGCATAGATTCGACGCTGTGAAGCATTGACTTCGATTGAATAAAACGGTAAGATTAAATGCAAAAAAAACGTCCCAATCAACGTTAATATGGAAAATAGTGTTGACGTTACAATAAAATAACTATACGGAATGGAAGCCTCTACTCCTGTTAAATTGTTCATGTTAGATTTTCAGTTAGAAGAAACAACTCAGTCAGTTTTTATTTTGAAGAAAAACCAATTTATTGTTCTCCTTAATTGTCATTAAAATAATATAGTTAATTCATGCAAAGTGATGCATATGACTAAAGAGAAAATGAGTACTTAACTCTCTTCGTGTGCACTTCCACATTTGAAAGACAAATAATACCCTCATTCACTGTATCTTATTTGTATAATATGGAATTTCTGTCACAAACAGTCATGCATCATTTTCGAGTGCGTTGTCTTGTACTGCAATTTTGCATACAAAAGTGAGGGGCTTTTTACCATTTTATTGTGATGCACTGCATATATTATGTTTTCTGATCTTAAATTTTTCTTCCTCTGACAAATGTTTTCAGATTTTCAAAGTGTGTCATAATGTCATTTAGACGCATTTTTTACTGAAGAAATCTCGTTTCTTGGCAACACATCAACTCCTTGGGCTCGAGAATACCAGAAAACACAAATGTCAGCTTCAAGAAAGCTCTCTCTCGAAGGAGAGCTAACCAGCTTAAGGAATAAATTCTGCTCAGATGCCCTGGTTAAATGAGTTGAAAGTCTTCTCTCTTCGCATATGTTGAATGAGTTCATCCATTCAAATACCTCAAAAATCTTTTGTTCATCTCATTTATACACACTGCTTTTTATTCTTTCACATGGGTTAGAAACTAATGCAGACACTTTCCAAAAACAGAATTAGTAACCACAGCCATTAGGGAAGCACTGTTACTTCTTTCTAGCAATATCATTCCATTTCTCTTGCTGCGGGTTAGAAACGAACACAGTGAAATCTTGTCGCAGTTAGGTCACCGTAAATCTGAGTGGACATGCACGAATACACCCAACTATTATGATTTGTCGACGTAACACTGAGAACTGTGATGCATTTTATTATACTTCTTATTGTCGATTAATTCCAATTAGCTGGATGAATGGAAAGCTACGTGAAACGATAATTTATAGTTTAAAAACCCTCTATGAATGTTTGTTGTAAATGTTTCATTCCAGATGTGTGTTTATTGCATAAAATAAATTCTATGAAAGATTTATTTTTAACAAAATATCAACTTTACAATAACATAGGTTCGAAACAAGGGTATACGATTTTATCCATCACTACCGTGGCAATATTTTTGTCAAAATAAGGATTGAAAAATTCAGAAAACTATCACTCGGATATAGATTCACAAACAAAGAGTAGTAATAATAATACCGAGGTACACTAGAGAGAAAATCAAACGACTGGCCGACAGTAATTTAATAAATGAAATAATAACTAAAGATTGTTATTAGAATAACTTCGTTTAATATAAATAATTAAGTAAACATGAAATGAACGTAAAAGAAAAAGGATCGGTTAATTGTTACTAATATCTCAGGACTAAAATAAAAAGGGAAAATTATCCAATTTCATTGGTATTTATACATCAGTCAATAGAACATTGTATTATTCCAACCGAATGCTGATTGCACATCACCTATAGAATATATCTGCATGTGTCAAAAGTACAAAAGAGAAAAACTGCATCGCATTCAAAAGGTCAAACTTGACTGAAAATTATTAAAAGAGTCTCTAAAGTTAATTCGAGGAAATACTTCTGTATATTAATTTCATAGCATACAAATAGAAAGGTTTCTACTTGAGTAAAAGGACTACTATCGGTTCCAAAATACAAGAGTAGTGGCCGTTCTTTGAATAACTGTTAAACGAAAGTTGATGAAGACTCACACTTTTCGCTGTTCGATAGCCAAGGCTTTAGAGCATGTTTTTGTAAGCAGAAAATATTTAGAATTTGTTTTCAAAAATCTATTTTGAAGGAAATCTTTTGAAAACCGTTTCCTAACTAAAAAATTTGGCAGAGCAATATATGGATTTTTTTTCATAAACAGATAGGCTAAAGTGTTCTTCGCAAAACAGAATCTAAGCGAAAGCTTCGTCTCTCATGAATGCGCAGCCGACAAGGTTTTCCTGGGAGCTCTAGGACTGCGCTTCGTTTCGGTCAATGAATATCAGCAATGCATGCAAACATAAGTTTCAACTATGCAGAATCTCGTGGCAATATCTATTCATAGAAAAAGGTTTTAAAATATAGTGAAAATCAAGTTTCTCAAAAAACAGGATTTTCTGCCTGTTTTCATCTATTATTAAAATATTCACAATTCACTCAAAAAACATCAAAACGAGTTCAGAACTTGAGGGTGTACAAAATTTAGGCTGTTTTATATTCTATTTAAAAGAAATCCACAACAAAAAACCAAGATAGATAGTCACAAATTCAATGACGGTGTAATCTATCGTTACCAAGGTGACTTCGATAATGCGCTAAAGTCTTCATCGGGCTCTCGAAATATGCTGAATGTTATATAGGCTGAGGTATTGGGCATAATGATATGAAACTACGATATTGCATTACCAAATATAAATAATGGATTAAAATATTAGAATGCATACTTGAACGAGATCATATCGATAAAGCGTCAGCTTAAAACAATATCGCTAGTCCATTTTGATAAACAAGAATTTGCCAAAAACTTTATCATTACCAGAGATCAACCAGATGTCCCATGTCGACGAAATCACGGTATTTTTAACAATTAATCTCGATTAATTGACGATTTCGATGATTTTTCTGTTTTTTTTAAAAGTCATCAATTAATTGCGATTAATTGTTGCTTTTAAGCGATTAAATGGTTATTCTTACTCACCGTTTTATATTGTCTTAAAGTATGCATATAGGAAACACCATCTCTACGAGAAATTCAATTCTATTTGGATCATCTTTTTATTTTAAAGTAAAACGGAGTTGTCAAGAGTCTTCCTTACGGCTTGTCCAAGCGTTACGCAGCAACATTTCTGACACAATAATTCACGGTTTTTTCGAGAAGTTTAAGAGTTAGAGAGTTGGTTGGCGCCATTTCATGCAGTACCATTTCCTCTAAGTATGCTGAAAAAATGAAAAAATTTGGTTGAGCTTGACGGCTTAGAGACGAATTCTATAACGCATTACGCATTAACAAAAAAAGGCCCATCATTTTTGGAGGACAGAACAAATTGCGATTTCTTCGATGCTCTAAGACACTCTGGAAATTTTGAGTGAGACAAGAGTGGTATACGACGCAAAAATCTCGTCTGCGTACCGACATTGTACGACGTATCGACACCATATACCACCACAGATGTATTGACTGAATGCTTCGAGTTTCTTCTTTACTGGACAATGGCTGACAGTAGGGAAGGAGAAAGAAGAATATTTCATCTGATGGCTATGCTTATCAGCTTCGAATGTCAACGAGTCTCTCAGAGACTTATCAGTTTCGAGTAGTTCCATATTTATTCTGCAAGGTAACTATCTTCGATGGATACTCATACCTCATCGATGAGCTCTGTCCATCGACACAATGTTCTCTGATCTTCTAGTTTATCGTAGTTGATCGGTCCTAGTATCTAGCTATGGTTCTTTCGAGAATCATTCAAACTGGTACTTGCCACTTGATAATCTTTGGATAAAAGTGAAATACTTGCACAGTATTGTGGTAATCTTGAACTCATCCTCACCCTCAAGATATCTTTCGTAATCCCACTCAAGCACTAACAACCCGTCAACTTAACTATTAAAGTCATACGAATGGCAGCAAGATCTAGCATGATCGTCATATATCTCCACGGCCAACTCAGTTCACTGATAGGTTTTTAAGATTTATTATAAATAGTTTTTCTACAATTAAGTCTTTTTTCTGAATTATATATGAAGCATACTTGTAATTACTATAAATCAAAAAAAATTATGGTTATAAAATTAGTTTACTCGCTCGATTGTTGTAACACACGACCTAAGCATGTTTCATACATATTCAGTCGAGAGTGTCCTGGCGAAAATATGTTTCGAACAATCTGAACTGCTTTTTCGGCATAAATAACTGCCTCATTATAGCGATGCATAAGTTCTAGAAGTCGAGCCTTGTTATAGTATGATATGGCCAATGATTGATGCGTTGGTGGAAGTGTTCGTTTCTCTATGACAAGTGCTTTTTCCATGTACGTTAGTGCAGTAGCATAATCTTCTTTGACTTTATAAATACCAGCAATGTTGGAATAGCACTCGCCTAAATCAGGATGGTAAGCTGGAAGAAGCTTTAGGCGCAGGTCTAATGCTTGATTATAATTTGTAAGTGCCTCGTCGAGTTGATTTCGTCGATGGAGAGCAACACCGATATTATTGTATACAGTTGCTATACTAGCTTCATCTATTTGAGGTTGGTTTAACTCGATAGTAAGTGAACGATAAAAATACTTTAAAGCTGTGTCGAAATCTTCTTTCAACAGAAAAATGTGTCCTATATTTAGATAGGTAGCTGCCAGTTCAATATGATTTTTGTCAATAAAATTTAAATAAATATGCTTTGCTTTTTCCAGATTAAAAAGACTTTGTTCAATATCTTCTTTGAGAAGAAAAATAGTGCCAAGTTGACCGTATAGAAAAGCGAGTTCTACCATTTCATGATCAGGTGTTTTATTTATCATTGTTTGGTATAAATTTAAAGCCTGATCATATTCACCCATTCGTACAATTAGCTGACCCAGTCGATGAAAGTCCGTTCTTCCTACCAATTTTTGATAAATGTTATTTTTAAGCTGAGTCAATTGTTCGTCATTATCATCCGTTAGACGTAATTGTACTTGCCAAACTCCACTATCGAGCTGATCGATTTCTTGAATACGAAATACGGTATGTATTGTAAAAATAATTTCATCTTCTCCGAATCCGAAATGGCTCAAATGTCCAACTGCAGCCAATGGACTCGATCGTAAAGATGCATCGATTTGAATTTTAAATAAGACAGCCTGAGTTTCCGGATTCCCTAGACAAGATTCAGCATACTGTCGTGAAACAAGTTCATTCCCACTTGTTGACAAAAAATTGTTGAATGATAATAAACCTCCTCGATTCTTTCGTAACAATTGGAAACTCTCATTTGTCATTCTAAATTCAATTCAAATTTTGCAAAAAATAACTAGTAAATCGTTCTTACCCTTGCCCTCGGTAGACGACCTGCTCGATATGTGCCGATTCATTCCATAACTCTGCTATCTGATTGTGAAGATCTTTGATAATGAAGCCCATAACATATGTAGCAATAAAATCGTTTTCTCTTAGAGACCGATTAAGCATACGATAAACAAAGGTGTCACGCGTGTACCACCATATAACTCGATGTTTGCTATATTCCTTTTCGAATTCATCGATTGCATTAAGTGTAACAGTATTATCGGCGTACAGAACTCGGGCGAATTGCACGAATACAACTTTTGATACATCTGTCCACTCTATTTTGAGTAAAATATCCGCTAGTAATTGTGAATACATAAAAGAACAATCGAGTTGATTGTTGATATCGCTGGGAACTGGTCCGGTTACACTGATCGAAACTGAATCATACTCCAATTTCTTTCGCCTATCCTGGTGAATGCGATCACATATGTTCATCAAGTCACTTGACATGTGCTTTATTTTCTGATAGAAGCGAATTACCCGTTGATATTTTTCGACATTGTCTCCCAATATATAAACGGAATCAAGTGTAGATAGAGCATGAACGGATTGTATAACGCTTTCGACTAAATCGATTGAACTGATGAGAGAAATTTTCGTGTCTGCAGCATGTTTGATAAAATCAACAAATTGTGTTGGATCAGTGAATTTTTTAATAGAACCCATATTATTTTCAAGCTGGCGTGTACTTTCTTTTTTTTCTGGTATAGAATCAAGCCACACAAGACAACAATTCTCAATGGTGCCTATTTGACGGCGAAGTTCTGCCGAAACAGAAGGCGTATCAGTCTCTATTAAAGTCTCCAAGATCTTATCAGATGTGCGAAGAAATGATTGGGATTCATGATCGGTAGACTTTGGTACTTCGGTCAATTGCTTTTCCGTTGATACACGATTACCCAGGTCCAAAAAAACGGCCCGTTAACGGCCAGTTAATCTCCAGTAAACGGTCAACACAAAAAACGGCGCGTTAACGTTATGGAAACGGCAGAAAAACGCCCAG